GAAGAGACTTTGTAATTGCCAATACAACTATACTAACACCATTGAACAATACTGGTGTCAGATGCCTTCGAATAACACTCACACTAATAGTACTTTCTCACTAATACTTGTTCGAATAATAATCTGTATAGTGAATAGTATAGATAATAGTGATCCGTATAGTAATAGAGGATAGTGTAGAAATAGTCATCTGTATAATTATAAAAGATAGAATAGAAATTGGGATCAATTAGATGCCACACTAATTCCCATATATACATTTCCTTTATGATTACATGGTCTACTTATTAGCAATGGAATCACCTGCGTTTGTTTACTGGTGATCTGTATCCAAACTCCAGTGTTGGCAGTGACACTTTATTCCTATATAACATTATCAATTGTAAGAAGTCAGAATGTATGGTTGTCAGTAATAATATATATATATATATATATATATATATGTTCAAGCTGAAATTTGAGTTGTCAAAGTAAAACAAATAAAGATTAAATCTCTGCATAACATTTTAACAAAGCATGGAAAATGTGAAAATGAAATCAAAAAGTGCATGGGAATAGCAAAAAATGACTCCCAAAAATTAAAAAACGTCTAAGAAACAAGACTTCATTAGAAACAAAGAAAACAGTGCTCAACTATGTAATCTGGAAATGAAAGAGAAGAAAGGCTTTAGAAGGAAATGGAAACCCTATCCTAAACAGGAAACAAGGACTAAAGAGGAGTGTAAACAGGCAATAGGTGGACATATCTACACCTCTCCCTCTATGATATATATATATATATATATATATATATGTGTGTGTGTGTGTATATACATGTAAAATAGATACGTTAGTTAATAAACAGTTAATTTCTGTCAAGGAATCAGACAGAGATTGTTTTGTTTTTTTTTGCTAACAATATGATTTCCACCAGAAAATACACCATCTAGAAAAACATCTGTCAGTGAGTAATTCTCATTTCTCTGTTTATTCATTGGTCTGTTAATGTAAGACACAGGCATGTCCCAAAATTCCAAACTTAAAACCTCTCTTTCCATGCTTCATTTCTGTCATATGTTTAATAATTAATATTTAATAAATGTGTATTGTACTAATTAGATTGGTACCCTTTCATATGTCCTTGTTTTATTAGCTAACCTATTTTATGTATTATAAGATGCAAATATGGACCCCTTTTTTCTAACATATATATATATATATATATGAGAAAGAATCTGAAAATTCTTGAGCAAGACTTTAAAAGCACAATTACTCAAATATATAACAATGAGTTCAGTAAATATAAAAAATAAAAAGAAGTGTAAGACAAAGATGCGTTTTCTCACCAGAACATTTTAACCTATGCAACAAGACCATTTTGAGAGAATTAGAAGTCCTACCATGATTCATGGAAAGCAAGAAGAAAGGGTTAAGCCTTGATTGCAAGAAGACTGAATGCATAACTGTTAGCAAAAGGAACAGCCCAACATGCAAATTACAGATTGGAGATACAAAAATCAAACAATTTAGATATTTTGGAAGTGTATTGATGGTAAGTGTGACATGGAAAGCTGGAAGCACATTAAGATAGCAAAAGATGCCTTCCAAAAGCTAAGCAAAGTATTAAGAAATAGAAAAATTTCATTAGAAACAAAGAAAGAGTCTAGAAAGTTTATGTAAGTATCAGTCCTTCTATATACTTGTGAATGTCAGGCAATCTTCCCGCAGATGAAAAGACTTGAAGCAACACAGATGTGGTTCTGCAGAAGGATGCTGAGAATACCTTGGACTGAATATGTGAATGAAAAAGTGGCAACAAAAAGGAAACTTATGTCTAAAACCAGAAAGAGACAGCTGAGATATCTGGGGCACATAATGAGGAAAGAGGGCTTGGGAAATTTAACACTCAGAGGGGTGATTGAAGGTAAGAGCACCAGAGGAAAGCAATGCACAACCTACCTGGTGAGTTGGGTCCAAGAGAGATGGCAAAAAGATGAAAGTTATTAAAAGTTACAAATTTCAGAAAATTGTCAAGAGCTATGATCACTAACATCCTATGGGACACAGCACATAGAAAACCAAACCCTTTGAAATAGCCTCATTTGAGATATGTGTGGAAATCTGAGCACTTCTTCCATGTCTCAAAATCGCTGCAGAATTTTCTTTACTTCAGGCGACAATCTGAAGTATGTTCAGGTTATCCATGAAAATGTACTGGCAAACTATGTACCATGAGAGCACAGCAATAGATTAATAAATTTTATTAATTAGAACTCTACTTAATTAGACAGAGTTTATTAAGTAATTAGAGTTCATGACTTTTGCTGTTGGTTATTTGCCCTTAACACACATCTTGAATTGACACTCGACCTGCTTGCAAACAAGTGTTCTACACACAAACTTTTCAGCCCAAAGAATGCTTGTAAAAGGCCTGATGAAGTATTTCAAGTTTCTTGGTAACAGATATGCCAATCTCCACACAAATTTTGACACAGGCATTTTCTAAGTCATGATAAAGAATTCAGAGACATTCCAACTCCTGCATAATAACTGAATGTAAGTAGACAGCATGAAGCTTATTTGTAGGCATGTTAATCCACATGAGATGCTTCCTTTTGGCATTCACCAAAAAAATGTACCGTCTTACAGTACAGAACCCATGCAATTATCATCTGCATGGAGAAAAAGTATGTATGAATAAATCATTATCTCCGTATAGCACTTGACATGGGTTTTTTAATTTAAAATTTACAGCCTCAGGTAGGTATTAATATGTGTTAAGTACATGTACTTTTCCAATGAAGGAGTTTGACACAAACAGTCCATGAACTTACCAGTACCACATAGTACACTAGTTGACCCATACTGTCAAGAAGTATGTGATATTTTTTAAAGTTATAAGTATTATATATTAGTATTATTAGAACATGATAAACCAAGACTCCCCCCCTAATTATCATTGTTGCATTCCACTTTTTGATGGAGTGGGCCATTTTCATCTTTTTACTTCATAAACATCTTAGAACAGTCTGCCATTGTCATAACAAAAAATAGAGCCTCCTGGCATCACAAGTGCAGAGGAAATAATTCTAACACAACAGAGATTTCCAGACATTATAGATAAAAAACAACATTGTGTGTGTGTGTATATATATATAGTGCAATGAGTAAATTGTTGTCATATTATATTTTTAATTTCACATGTGTGTGTTGTCTTTGATTTTGACGACTGCAAAGTATAGTAGAGTCATTTGGGCGGTGTCTGAAAAAAAAAAAAAAGAACACCATAACACAATTCACTCTGCCAGGAATTTGGAAATGACCTGCTATCTTGCTTGGCATTCACACTGAAAGCTTGAATACAAAAAATTCAAAGTGTCTGGGTGTCAATTTCAAGACAATGCAGAGGGTTCAGATTTTATTTGTGATAAAATTAAGCCATATGACTCTTCACAAATTCCCATTTTCTTTTTTTAGTGAATGAATCCCCGAGAAACACAGTGGAAAGGTTTTCCATTGCCTTTTTCATAATATGTAATTCAATGTTTTTCTTCTATTTGTTTGCCATTCAAGACTAGAGAGGTCAGTCTACTTTGTCATTTAACCAATAGCTGAAATGGTGTGGAGAGATGAATTCATACCTTTCACAAGGGCATTAATGTGAAAGTGAATGAAACAGCCTTGGTGAAGTCCATTAGAGGACAAAATGTGTTGGCTAAGATAAGTTTTCCTTTTGTCTTTATTCACAGTCATTTTACAGACAAGCATGTGCACTCCAGATCATGATGGCACCTCCTTCATTGTGTCATGTAGAAAATGTCTCTGGTGAGATATACTTATTGTGCCAGTAACTTTGAAAGCCATCTGGACCATCTAGGTTAAATTTTTTTTATCAGTGAACAAAAGCTTCTTTCACTTTTTGATGTCTAATGGCGCTTCTCTGTAAAGTTCAACATAATAGGTTGTTCTTCTATGGCGATCATGGCTCTCCACATTACCCTGTCCTTTGTAGCTCTTAATAAGTTTAGCCTTTTTGTTATCTCTCCTAAACTTTGTTCCATCATCTATTTATTTAATCTCACGAGGTAGGTTATGTGTCATTTTCCTCTGTCCCTCTTGCCTTCAATCTGCCTTTTGATTATCAAATTTTCCAAGCACCCTTTCCTCATTATGTGCTGTAGAAATTTCAACTGTCTTTTCCTGATGTTAAATATGTTTCCTTTTTGCTTCTATTTTCTTTAAAACTTCGTACTTGCTCACATGTTCAGCCCATGTTATCCCTAGCATAATTCAGTAGAACATTTTTTGTTGCTTCAAGTCTATTCAAATGTGAGGAGATTATCAAATATTCAGTTGTATAGGATAATTTATATTACATAAAAAGTCCAGTACTCTTTGTTTGTAATGAAATTTTTCTATTTCCGAATACTTTGTTAAGCTTTTGGAAGTCATCATTTGCTATTCCAGTGCATCTTTGGATTTCAATGTTGCACTTACTATACTCTGTTAAAACAATTCCCACATATTTAAATTGTTTTAACTGTTCAATTTGGTACCTCTGATTTGTAATTTTCATGTTAAGCTGTTCCTTTTGCTGACAACCATGGATTCTGTCTTTTTGCAATTGATCTTTATTCCTTTCTTCTTGCTTTCCTTACAATAGTGAATTTTTATAAGCCTAGAATACCAGGTTTTTATATGCCTATAATTAACAATACTGGATTTCCTGTTTAGAAACATCTAATTAATATAGGATTTGTTAATTTAATTCTTATAATTCATATGGAATTTTTTGGTAGACATTATTGAGTTAATATTTTAAAACTTTCAATAACAGCTACAACTAAAATGGATAATACATTATAACTTCAATTGACTCCCTCCCATCCACGGTCAAGGAAATTATTTTATTACCTTCATCTTTCCCCGCAAACTACTGAGAGCTGAAATTTGCTCAGGGTGATAAAAATAATTTTTAAATAATTTATTTATTTATTTATTTTTTTTTAATGGAGGCACATGGCCAAATCACACTGAAACATTGGTTCCCATCCAATCACTGAAGTTAAGCAAGATTGAGCCTGATCAGTAACCTAGTTGGGTGACTGCTCAAGAATACCAGGTGTTGTAAGCTTGGATGTACAGGTGGTGTAAAAGATAATGACATGGAATTAGAAATTCAAGAACTGTGTTTAAATTCCTGTTGTGCTCATTATATTAGGTTATATACAAATACCCTTGGAATAGATAGGAATCAACCTCCTCTTCTCACAACTAAGTAGAACTTTTATTAAAAAATCATTATCTTAAAAAAAATTCTGAAAATATGTTACAACTTTAAATAAAACCATAAAAAAAGTTGATAAGCAGTAAAAAAACAAATCAATCCATCAATGTTAACAATAGAATTGAAAGTGAATGATTCAGCCCTGTGGTAAAGATCTAAACTGGTTGAACGAAGAATTGTAACTCATTCTACCATTTTTCAAGGAAATAGCAATAAATTATATATATATATATATTTATTAAAGACATTTTTATGTTTAACGTTGTTTTTTGTTTTTTTTTTATTTTATAGATACAAGTATTTAAGTAAATGCTCTGTTTATGATAAACAGTATTAAATAACATCTACCGGCCTGAATGTCCGAAAAATTTTCATGGAAAATATTCGTTCTTTGACAGGATTCGAACCTGCATCCTATACGGAACTGTCATTTACGCTGACCTGCCTTACCGATCGGCCACAAAGAATCGTTCGGAAGACAAGGTCGAATTTACTGCTTATAAACTTCAATCTTCCATGAATCTCATACATTCATAACTGCTCTGGCGTATCAAATGACGTCATATATTAAGAAATGGACAAGGTCCGACAATTTATTTATTAAAGACATTTTATATTTAACGTTGTAAAAATGTCTTTAATAAATAAATTGTCGGACCTTGTCCATTTCTTAATATATATATATATATATATATATATATATATATATATATATATATATATATATTATATTATATAAAAAAATCAAGCAGCAAATCTCTTAAACAAGTTTTATTAAAAATGATAAACATTCTATATCTATTCAATTTATCTATTTTCTTTTCCTTACTGCAAATCAGCTTCTGCAAACCTACGTGCTGCAGATGCAAAACATTTCCAGAGTCAAGCTTTCAGTTTTCATGTATCATCTTCAGGTGCAATAAAGTAAACTGGAAGAAGGGAAATGAATGCTTGAGATTATCTACAGCTCATACATACAGTCTATTATTCTTTTCTCTGTTTTCCCCAAAAATGATCACAGTAGGATAGATAATTGAATGACAACAAGAAACTTTGGATGTATGCCTTTCTCAAGAGCATTAGTTCATTATATTATTTCTCCTGATCTGGCATCTTGGCTTCAGTCACTTTCCATTGCTGTAATATAGCGTACCTGTCATTTTTCTATAAATACTTTCATGGTAATTGTTCAGTTGAATTCTTCCCTATAGGACCTGACCTTTATGAATTTAAGCCTAGTACTAGATTGGTGACAAGGTCTGATCATTTTACATTTGAATTAGTTAGATGTAATTAAGTTCTATGCTGTTTCTTTTCACACACTTCTTACATGTGGAACTCTCTTCTGACTTTTTGGATTCCAGCCAATTTTGATTTTCAGAAGTTTAAATATAATATCAATCATCATCTGCTGTCTTCTTGATTATATTTCTATTGTTCTCACTCCTTAATAATGTCTTTTTTTTCTTATTCTTTCACACTCAGTAACCCCTTGTGTCTTAGTGGATTTACTGACTTAAATGGGGTGAAATGATTAACAAAGAAAAAAAATAGAAAAAAATTAATCTAAAATCGGCATTAGGCTATGAACTTATTGATCAATTCTCACATACTGATAAAAATTTTGAGTTGATAAATAATGGAAATTTATAGGTTTAGAAAATTTTTCAGAGAAATTTTTTTTTTTTTTTACTGTTTTTACCAGGGGAAATTTCTATATTTTTATTAAAAATGTTTTTGACTTTACATCAACACATTTTTCTTTGAAAAATGTTAGACAATTATTTTTCCTTACTTCGTTTTCTTTGTGTTTATTTTGATCTACAATATCCTTTTCTTTTCCTTTTTGCATTATTTTTAAAAGGAAGTAAATTTATGTTTTCCCCTGAAAAGATATCTTCCACTTTAGATTTTTTTTTCGGTTTGGTTTGTGTATATCATTTCTATTTTCAGATTTCCGCTAATATTCGTAAATGCACCTTTAAAAACTTTCAATTTCACTCACTGTTATTTCAGGTAATAAACAAAAAAAAACCAATAATTAAGAAAAAAAGCAGACACAAATATAACCCCTAGAGTCTCATAATAAAAGTAGAAAACATGAGTATCTCAGTTATTAAGGATGATTGCTATATAGGTATTTTCTGTGATATATAATGAAGTCTGTTCATTCATGGCAAAAAATCATTTTTATTTGCATATAACCAACTTATGATATAATGAACTGAAGACAGCTGAAGGAATAATTGTCTCAGGCTGATTATCAAAAGTTTTATCATGAAAATAAATAGTTGTAAGTATGCAGAATAAAAGATGTGTTTCTATAAAAAAACAAACAAAAAAAAAAAACAAAACAAAAAAAACAAGCAAAAACCAAAAAACAAACAAAAACAAAAAAACAAAACAAAAAACAAACAAAAACAAAAAACAAACCAAAAAACAAAATAAAAAACAAACAAAAACAAAACAAAAAAAACAAACAAAAAAAAAACAAAAAAAAAAAAAAAAAAAAAAAAAAACAAACAAAAAAAAAAAAACAAAAAACAAAACAAAAAAAAAAACAAAAACAAAACAAAACAACAAACAAACAAAAACAAAACGAAAAAACAAGATAAAAATTTACCATTCATCCATGCTTTGAATATTGGTACCACATATGGTTTACTGCTCCTACTATATATTTAGAGATCCTTGATAAAATCCAAAGAAGAATCTGTTGAATTCCAATCTGTGGAAATGACTGCAAGTTTTCCCCCTCCCCTTTTATAGGAGAAAAATCCACAAAATACATGCTGGGATACTTTTTTTAGTCAATAAAATAGATCGATTTAAAACTTGACTCAGTTGAGATCTGCCATTTCAGGCAGTTCAAACTGACTTGTCAAACTCTCTGCTTTTGAGCAGAGAGGAACCCAGACGAGGCTATACTGAAAAGTAGAATTGCATATGAGGAGGTAGACAAGCCCAGCTCCATGTATACAGGGTCTATGGGGAATTTTTACCCAAGCCTACAGTCTTGGAATCACTCCATGTATTAAAAAAAAAAAAAAAAAAAAAAAGGCCTTGTGTCACATCCTGCCTTGTGGGGGAGGCTAAGGTAAATAACCTCAGTTCAGATCTATCTTGTATATATGGAAGATCATTGGGTTCACTTATTTGACATAGTTTTCCTGCATAGATGCTAATTCATGGTTCATAAACCTTTTTGTTTTCTGAACTGTGAATTTTATTTATATTGCTTGCTTGCCGGATATCGTTTAAGTTTTGCTCCTTTTTCTTTCTACTGCAAATATTATTAATTCTGTTCACTGGACAGTTGGTTTACTTATTTTGAATTTAGACCATGACTTCTATCTTAACAACGTGCAACGTCTTTGGTCCTAATCTGGCATTTTGGATTCAGTCACTTTTCCACTGCCATAATGTATCTTCCTTGTGTCACTTCTATAGTAATTGTTTTAATTAACTTTTTTCAATGGTACCCAGACATTATGAATTTAAATGCAGTACTAGATTGGCAGTTAGGTTTGATCATTTTGCAGTTGAAATGGCTAGATGTAACCATAAGTTACATTCTAGCAGTTTCTTCTATCACACGTGGGGAATTCTCTTCTGGTTTCTTGTTCTCCAGTCTAAAATTTAAATGCAATGTCCATTGTTATCTTCTGTCTTCTTAATTTCTGTTCTCTCAATGATCTTGCTCCTTAATTATGGTTTTGTTATATTATTTTACATGATTTTCCTACATTATTTTAACACCTGCATCTTGGTAGCTTCGTTTACCATTCTTGGGATGAAAAGATGAATAAATAAAATAAAATAAATATGTATAAAATTACATCAGTAAAAATATCAATATTTACATATTTTATCTTATTAAATGTTATTTTTTGTGGATATTCATATTTGAGTAGATGCTCCATTTATTTATTAAACTGTATATTTATTTTTGCCTGGAGACCTGAATATTTGAGAAATTTTATTTCTGGTGGACCAAAATAGATAAATATACTGCTTAATAAGTTACATTGTTTTGATGTACTACTGTAAGCTGGTACTGTTTTTCTTCTTCCTTTATTATTATTATTTATATATATATATATATATATATATATATATATATATATATATATATGTATGTGTGTGTGTGTGTGATGCCTTTATATATATATATATATATATATATATATATAATAATGTGTGCACACACACACACACACACACTTCAAACAAATAAAATTAAATATTCTGCTTATCTTTCCAATTCACTTACACAGAAATGATATCTACTCATCAGGGGGTTAGATAGCAAAATTAAAATTTTTAAATTAAATTAGCACAGTTTTACTATCTAGCCTGGTGACAAGCAGATGCAATTTCTACAAAACTGAGTCAGGGAAATAAATAAGACATTTAATTTCATTTCTACTCTATTTTTTAATCTCACTTTGAAAGGTCTTTCCTCAAGAAATACACAGGTTAATGATTATTTTATGTGAAACACAACCTTTCTTTTTATATATATATATATATATATATATATATATATCCAGGTAAGATGAGAATGAATAATAATTCCAATGTTTGTAATATTTAATTTAAAAGAGGGATCAATACAAAATTAAGCAATATTCTTTATTTTAGGATATTACATCAAAAAACCTGTCAAAATTGTTACACAATTGCAGTCATGTTTCGAAATGTATCAAGGCATCTCATCAGGCGTTTGTAAATTACTGGTGAGTGAACAATTTATTCGGATTTAAAAGCAAAATATAGCCTCTTTTTATGATAAAAAGAAAAAAGGGTGAGGTGTAAGATTTGTGGGCTTTACTCAGATCAACC